GTTCCAAGACTGCTGAGGGCAGAATCTCAGCAGAGTCACACACGCATGCAGGCGCGCACAGAAATGCACCCACCCTGCCATGCACAACCATTTGACTCTGGAGGAGGCAGCCCCCTCCTGAATGAGAAGAAACGTGGCTCCCGGCATGGCTCCCCACCCAAGCAAGCCTGCCAAGGACACAAGAGCCAGAGGCGGAGGAGAGAGACCAACCGAGCGGGTTACCTTGCGCCTGCGGCTTCTGCACCGGGGCCGCTTCCGTTTTCTGCAGAGGCCTCTTCAGCAGCTGGGGGCCCCCCATCGGACTGGACTTCTGGGCCGATGGCAGAGAGGCCGTCTTGGCCTTGGGACTGGAGGTCGGACTGCTGGACACGCTGGAGAGGTCCTACCCGAGAGAAGGGCAGCCCCCCCCGCCCCATGAACGGGTCAGAAGGAAAAGGCAGGGCTCATCTAGGCTCCCATTTCAAGTCCCAGCCACGCTCCTGCCCCTTGGTTTGTTCCAAGAGGGAAGGTCAGAGGGCAGCGGAGCGAGACCACACCTTTCCCCGAAGACGGACTTGGTGGCCCACCCAGAGAGGACGGTCCTGCCCTGCCCCTCGAGTTGGACCTGGTTCTTTAGGCACAGAGCTTCTGAAGAACAGGGGGAGGGAGAGACAGCTTGCTCCCCAGAGGTCCCCCCGCTTTTCAGAAAGAGCCTCCGAGGGAGACTGCCGGCCGGCCGGCCTGCCCTTCCTTTCCTCTTTCGCCGCTGGGGCGTCCATGGCTCACGCTGAGCTTCCTCTGGGGCTCCTCTGTTCCTGTTTCAAAGGGCAGCTCTCTTTGGGGAGTGGGGGATGAAGAAGCTGGCGTGATCCCTCTTTGGAACTGTGTGTGGGGGGGGGAGAGGGAGGGACCTACAGGCCTAGTTTGCCAAAGACCTGCCTCTTCTAGGGGCACGGGGGGTGCGGGTGGGGAGAGGGCAAGCCCTCTGAGGTGCCTTCCTCCCCTGGAGGAACAGGGGCCACCATTTGGCCATCCCCTGCCAGCCTCCACTCCGGACTTGTGCCTTGTTCTGTGGAGCAGGGGGGGCAAGGGCGGAGGCATCTATCCTGCTCTCCCCACAACCCCCACTGGCTCCCACATCTCACAGATGCCTTCCGGCATTCTGTCCTCACCTCCGACCCAGAGGGCGAAGCTGGCACTTTGGCGGCAGGGGAGGCAGGGCAGCTGCTCCTCTCAGACATATCGAAAGACAGGTCCCTTCTGGCCGAGTCCCGTGCGGTCTTCTTCTTCCTCTCCGCATCAAGGTCTCGGGGCTCAGAGCCCGAGGGGCTGTCTGCTCGGGTTAGCACACCTGTGAGGAAATCAGCTATTTCGTCCTGCAGAGGCAATGAGGCAGAGATAGGTATTTAGCAAACCCTCAGGGCATCCAGTCCCACTGACCTGAACAGCTACATGTTGCTCTCTCTCTGTTTGGGGGGAGGGGAGAGAAGACTGGTGCTTTCCCAGTCCCCCCCCCTTGCACTTTGATTTTCTCGCTTTCAGGCAACCTGGACAAGGGGGAAATAAAAGACTAGGAAATGGTGCCCATTAGGAGCCAGAAGAAGAGAACAAAAGAAGAATCAAGGGTCCTCTGGCCAAACCAAGGCTGCAGGACAAGCGACAGCTCTTCTCTCCACGGCTGACAGGGCGGCAGGAGCACGCTTAGTCCTACAGCTTCTTACAGAGCAACACATGCAACCTGGCATAAGCTTTCATGGACATCAGGCCACTTCAGGCACATCTGCAGTGCATGAAAGCCAATGCCCAATGAAACCTGTTAGCTTTTAAGACGCCACAGAGCTTTTTGTCGTCTTCTCTCCAGAGCAGGACAGCATGGCTACTAAGATCTACTCCGGCAAAATGGGCCCTTTGCTGAAAACTGCCACAGAGAAGATGACACGGGAGGATCAACACCAAGCAACTGTGATCACTCAAGATCCAGCTCAATGGAGAAAGAAGAACCTCTTTTGGAGGAAGCCTCAACAACGGTGCTTCTGCATGCAATGAGCAGCAAAATACATCTTTGGGACAGGCCTGTCTTCTTAAAGCAGGAGGGAGTTTTCCGAAGGGGACACAGGCTAAGGGAGGCCAGGACATCTCCCCAGACCAGGCACCCTAAGGCTCATACCCTAAGGCTCTTGTGGCTCACTCCCAGCATTTTGCTCCATGCCAGTTGTTACCATGTTGTTATGAATGGTCTGGAAAGAACCTGCAGGAGTACCGCCCAGGAGCCCCACCCAAACAGGAGAAAGGAGCCCTGAGATGCCCACACCATCCCTACAAAAGCAGCATGCAACCCAGAGAGATTTCAGCAACATCAGCTGAACAGAGCAAGCATGAGAAAAGCAGGGAAGGGTTCCATGATAACCAGGGGACTGGTACTGGGTATTGGGAGTGGGGAAATAGGACACACAACTATTTACCTGTATGCACCTGTCCACCATACTCTGGGTCAGGCCTTCCAACTTCTTTTTGGCTTTGCTTATCCTAGTAAAGATGCAGGCTGTTAAGATGCGTTCACCCTTTTCTTCCACCCTCCCGCCCTGGGCTTTCCCACCTCTCGGGACAATGTTCCATCTAAAAGCTGAGAACTGCAGACAAAATTCTGCTGCTCAGCTGGGTGTTTATTTTATTTATTTATTTTATTTGATTTATATCCCGCCCATCTGGTCTAAAAGACCACTCTGGGCGGCTTCCAATATAGTAAAAACAGTGAAATAATAAAATAAAATTCTGCTGCTCAGCTGGGTGTTCCTGGCACCAGTAATCCAGACTAGCAATAGTTCATACTGATACAAGAAAGTGGGTGTTGCTGATTAGCATTCTGAGTTGGGGATGAATGAGTCTACTCTGGATGTGCATGGATCAAGAAACCTTAATGGCCTAGAAAAGGCAGGGATTTTTCACAAGAATGGAATAAACATCATGCTTGAATTAACTATTAGGAGGCTTAATTTAGCAGGACAACAACCTGTGTGCAATGACCTTGATTTCCACTCTTCAGACCCACTCACGTTCTATAGCTACAGTTTTCTGCCCCAACATCGGAGCTTACTCTGTGGGCAGATGCTTCACAAGCCTCCAGTGAAGAGGGTGCAAGCGAAACTCTGATCTGATTTATCTTCTGAATATATTCACTGCCAGTGATAAAAATGATTTTCTACCACACACATGGCTTGCCTTCTTTCCAAACACTTTCAGATCGAATTGATGGAGATGCTGAGCGGACTGCATGAATCAGGCCCGGGTGAAGACACGTGGGCCAGAATCCTTCTGTTTGTGGATGTGAACATGGCAGGAAAATCATGCCAGTGCTTCTTATTCCCTCCGGCAGGCCCTCCTTTGTATGACCAGTGACACACTGCTAGCAAAACCAGGCTCATGGCCAGGAGTGCCAAGGAGAAAACCACTCCACGCTTGCCATGGCACATGCTGTTTTCTGTTCACGGGATTTTGGCAAGGGAATTAACCTTTTTTATTTCAGAATAAAGCCCTCTGGGCTGTTCCACCATCTGGCCAGGAGGGAACACACCTGAGATTATCATCAGCACCTCCAACGATGACGAGGCTGTTTTCAGCTCGAAGCTTCTCCCGGAAATCCTCCATTGCTTCTGTGTTGCACTGGAGGGAGTTCTGACCGATTACGAAGAGAACCGGTGTCTTCATGTCCAGAAGTGGGTCGTCCACATCCTGCACAATTCAATACATCAGACTCTGCTGGTTCTCTTTCCATTTTAGAAAAGGCCGGGGGGGGGGATTTGATGGCTGCGAGCAAAGAAAGCAGGAACATCTCCCACATTTCCACTTCAAAATTATTATTTTTGCAGGCAACCAACAAATGAGACATTCCTAGCATAGGGCTGGTCATCTTATCACATGCTGATGATAAATACATCAGATAATGGGCAAGGAGAACCAGGGGACTGTGTCCCAACACATGCCAGGGCTGTAAAAGCAGCAAAACTAGTTATCAGCTCCCTGTCAGTTGTTTACTCTAAGGTCGGCTTCCATGTCCTTCTTACCCCTCTGGGCCCATCCACGGTTAAGAGAGGGAATCCAAGACACACCACCGCCGTCACGTCTTCCATCACTGAAACCTAGGCATGAAAACAGGTGGTCTTTGTTTCTACAACTCCACAAGGCTCCAAAACTGTATGGCAAGGGAACGGACCCTGTAGTCTCCTGCTGTTTCACAATCTATCATAATTGTATTTGATGTTCCAGCACTACGGACTGCAAAAGAGCCACGCCCTGTGGTGTGCGTTCTCTTTTGAGGCAGGTGCCTCAAAAGGCGACTGAGAGGTGGTACCAAGCAGGTAGCAGGAGAGAAATACACTATTTAAGCCTCAGCCCAACTGAACTACTTAACTAGCCATCTGCTAACTAGACTTCATCAAACCAGGCCTTTGAACTTAAGGGTGAGCCACCAGATTTTCTCTGGCCAAGCACCTTTCCTCCTGCCATGCCCTCCCTCCCTCCCCTCTGTTGTCTTGCAGTCACAGAAGGGTGGTCGGACGGACTTTTCAAAGTCCTGCACCAGCCAAGGTCTTCCATTTCTCTATTTCATACTACATATATATATACTACACACCGTCCACAGAAAAATAAAAGACTGTGAATTACATACATGGCAGGCCACCAGTGCTCCTGTGTTCCAGCCAATTAGGATGATTGGCTTATGGGAAAAATGGTTGTGGATCTGGAAGAAAAAGAGGGAAAGCCCAGAACTAGTAGGAGCAGAAGAGTATAACTCAAGGGAAAGGGCTGGGGGTTTCCAGGTCAGGAGAAAGTCGAACAAAATCCAAGTACAGGAACCCCAGCAGCTGCTCTGGTTCCCACCTCGTGCACTTTGCCTCTCACAGCACCGATCATGTGCTCCAGGCACTGCAACACTCCAACTCCACTGCCGTTGTTGATTAGATGGGTAGCCACCGGGATCACCTGGAAAGCAAGCAGAAGAGAGGAGTGATATCTTAACACACCAGTGATTCCACTCTGGTCCCCTTCCTAGTGAAGCAAATAGTTGCATCTTAATGATTTCGCCTGAAAGGATAAACGAAACAACCCAGGACTCTGCAGCCTGTAAAGATCACAGGCAACATGCTGCCTACCTCCCCTTACTGGCCACTGGCTTTTTGTGGTCTCTGACCTAATCCCAAACAGTCCCCAAGGACTTCTTTGCTGCCGAGAGCAAACATGACATACGCATGAACTCTGCGACCAACTGAGAGCACCTCCTGCTTGTTGTTCCCCGGCCACGTAGGCTGTCTGTATCTGCTAAACCCCAGAAAGGAACACTTTGCCCAGTAGGGCAAAGGATTGGTGTAAGCAACCCCAAGGCCCTACTGTGTGGAAATGCGACCAACAGAATGAAGGAGAAAAGCAACAGGTCCAGGCACCGTCTAAGGAGAAGAGCAGAGCACAGATATACAAACCTTTCCCAAGCAAGACAGTTGTGACTGCCAGAACCGATGCCGGCGGGAAGTGGGGAACATCGCATTGGAGGGTCCAGAGGATGCCAACAGGATGAGGGGAGAACCGGGCAGTTTGCTCTTGGAAAACAAGAAGAGTGCACTGAAAACCACTTACAGCCGAGTCACTGGTCAGAAAAGCTGCTCCTGGGTTCTTTTCTCTGCCAACCCGACCCAGACTGATGCTCTGGACCTCTGCCCTTAAAATACCTTTGTCCACGGGAAATTAAGACAGTGTGCATGGCCAATACATGCTGATTGTGGACTACTTCTTTAGAAAAACACGAACACACACAAGCCCCACCCCCAGCAAGCCCTCAATAAGGCATGAAAACAGGGTCCCGGATTTCCTTCTCTGAAATCCCCCAACGCCCTTACCGGCTTGTTGTGTGAAAGGACGCCTACGGCTGGATCCCACGGCCTCTTCAACAAGAGGGAGAGCGCTTCAGCCCCTGCTGCGCCCGTCTTTGTGGTCGAGGACAACAGCATCCGGTCAATCAGGGAGGGAATCTGAAACCCAGAAGGGTGGAGGTTGGGTGCACGTTTTGCACAACTCCCTCTCCCAACACGCACATGTGGCAGCGTAGCACTTCTACGCTCTCCCAAACAGACTTAACCACAGGTGACTCCTTCCTTTGGGTCGAGTCTGGATAGCCCACCACCAAGGAAAACCATTTTACACAAGGGGATCAGTTCCCATCATGACTACGGGAGTTGTGACTGTCTCTCCAGTTAGACCTCAAACTGCACAACTACACAAAACGGTGTAACGCCCACCTGCCCCCATCAGTCAACAGAGAAAAGAAGCAGGAAAAGGGTCTTTTCTCCTTTGCCAGGGTGGAGAACTTTCCAGAGGGTTGACGTCCGAGGGTAGGGTTACGTTGCTGTTGTCAGCATTTCCTCTGCAGGGTCTTGGACTGAAGGGCTGCACCAGGTGGTGCCTTGGTCTGGGACTCATCTTCACCAACATGGGAAGATGTGGAGCAGATGAAGCCAGGCCTTGAAAGGAGCCAGAGAGCCTGGAAGAGGGCTCCTCCAGGTTGCATCCGCCTACATCTACCCTTAGCCTGTTTCATGGCCTCTCCAATCGGGGAAGGTGCAAAGGAGACAAATCTCAGGAATCTGGGATGGGAGGAGGCCCACTGGGCAGCCAGGGGTTCCTCAGCCCTGTGCGGTAATATCAAAAAGGAGCTGCTTCCCCTTCTCTGTGAAATGGAGAGAGGAAGTGAAGAGAAAGAGGCACAACCCCACCCTTCCAAGCCTGCCGGGATCTCACCTTCCCCTTAAGGGTCTGCAGGGCATCCAGATAAGCGGCCAGCATCGGCAAGCTGAGGGTCTCGACAAGTGTTGAGTGCAGCCACTGGATCAATTTGGTGTCCCAGCTGATGCTCGCCAAAGCCTGGCGCACCCTCCGGGCGCATTTGTCCACCGCTATCCTCCGGAGCACTGGCTCGTTGCAAGCCTGATGGCAATCAAAGAAGAGAGGACTAAAACCAGCCCTGGCAGTGAAATCAAGCCAGCCAATCCCACAACAAGGTGGCCGAGCGCGGAGCTGCCTTTCCCACTACTCAGGAATTACAGCCAGTCACGTGAGGATGAAAACTTCACACCCAAAAGGGTCCAGAAAGGAACTTGTCCCAATCCTTAGTTTTTTTCCAGGGAAAAGTTTTCTTTTCTGAAAACATCACTACTAACAGTTAATAAAATGTCAGGCAAATATTGACCATTTCAAAGTTGTCTGAACCAGCAGTAAAGCCACCTGTTCACTTAACTTCCTGTTTACAGATCATTAAACAGTAACCCAACACCATTAAAAATAATAAAATGAAGATAATAACACAAACCAGTACTAAACTATAAATTCAACTTTTGGATGTTCAGGCGAAACCAGAACTGTGATTTTGAACAACCACAACCTAATTAATTTTCTACAGTTTGAGAAGTTTTTCACATCAGTTCTGTGAGTTCCTAACTACTATGGAACACTGACTCATCAGGTAAAATTCTGGGTGCACCCACCACAAGCCTGTTTTCTGTTTACAAGGCCAGAATGCAGATTGGCTAAGGATTCCTGTGCAGCCAAGACACACTGACTAACCAAGGGAACATACCAAGTCTCAGAGCTGACTGGGGATTTAAGTCAAGGTCCCTCTCGCTCTAATTTAATCACTGTATCAAATACTGTACTTGAGTCCAAGGACTTGCTGTCTATTAAGGTATTTTAAAAAACTGTTGAATGCACAGAAAACAAACAGACATATTTCATTTATTTGTTGAACTTTTATACGGCCCATATAAATTATACTACATACTACATAACATTACCCTCTATGGGCGCCTTGGAAAGAATTTCCTGGATGTTTTCTGGGACTTTTTCCAATTCTAAATGTTCTACAAAACCCATGTCCCTGATTATGATGAGAGCTGGAGCCTTTCTAACTTGAATGGGCAAAACACGGATGTGTAAGTACCTGCATCCTGGCATAAACTGTAGGAATTAACAGAAGCCCAAGAGGATCCCATCGCAAGCTAAAGGAGAGTGGCAGCAAGTCAGGGTGCTTACCCCTTCATTCGCCAACCGGGCCAGTCGGTCAGACTGCAAGGCTTTGAGGATTTTATTGAAGAGCTTGTTTTGGGTTACTGTCCAACCGGACCTGTAAAGGAGAGATAGAGAGAAAAAGTCAGTAGTCGGGTGACTGAGTGAACAGAACAGCTGGTGGGGAAACCCAGACACAATTGGTTGTTATTATTGCCAGAATCAGACCTCACTGCAAGCCCTAATGGTTCCTCCTACATCAGTGAGACTTGGCCAGCCTTGCACTCAAAATGCTGCTCCATCTTCTCTGACAGTTCCTAAAATGATACCTAGCGGTGCCCCCACCCTCCCAGGTGGAGAATGTGAGGTAGGGAAGAAGGCAGCTGCTCAGCCAAGGAGGAACACCACACACTTCCAGTGCCATCCAACCAGCTCATGGTTGGGGGAGGGATCCAAACCCCTCCCACGCCCAAGAGGATTTCTCGGGCTGAAGTATAATCTGAATTAATTAACCAAGTAAATTAGAACTCAGTGCCATTTTGCAGGGTGGCAGCCCCATCTAATCCACAACTAAGGACAGAATGACCCTCCAGCTGATGCTGGACTACAGTTCCCACAATCTCACAACATGCCTTGGTCATGTGATAAGGGCGGTCAGGAGAGTTGACCAGCCACCTTTGAAGGGCTGCGACTCTCCCAAAACTCATTCCAAACATTACCTTCCGGGTCAAAAATCAAAAAAAAGAAGCTGGGGGTGTCTCATGAAGGTACGAACACCCTCCCCAGCCCATCCAATGTCCCACCACCACCCTGATCTCATCACCTGTTCATATGTTCCTCCCAGTCATCCGGTGGAGGCGGTGTGTCGGTATCTGTGCGGGCAAAGATCACATGGCGCTCACACTCATTCATTACGGTTCGGGCCTTCCGGTTGTCATAGAGTGGCACGGGTGTGGGTGTCACAGTTTCCACATCAATGGGAACATCTGCCTCACTGAAAGCAGAGGTTGTGGCTTCAAAGAACAGCATGCTTGCCCCCCACTCGCCCCTCCAAAGCCCCTGGAAAGGGAGGTGGAAAAAAGCTTCACAGGAACGCTCTGAGCGAACTCAACAGTCTTGTCCACTGTTGGTTCGCTCACTTAATAGGAACACTCTGAGCGAACTCAACAGTGAGGGGGTCTTGTCCACTGTTGGTTCGCTCACTTAACCTTTCACCCCAGTTTGAAAGAGACACACAGCAAGAGGTCAAATAAGACAGTTAAAGGAAGAACCCGAGTTCCCCTACATAACTGGACGATATAACACAGCAGAAGCAAACTTACACTGCGCTGCTCTCTTGATGTCTCTTAGGAGTCACAAAGAGCAGTCGAGTGGGGCGGGCACTGCTGGCATCGGGGTGGGCACTCCATGGCTTGGCATAACTGTGGTCCAGGAACACCAAGTCCAGCTCTCTCTCATGGACTGACAGTTGAAAGAGCAGAGAGGTCCCCATCCTGCGTGCTGAGGTTTGGAAATCCCGCTCGTTGCCTCGGTAAGACATGGCTCGTTCCTATGCCTTGGCTGCTAGTAGTGGAGCAACTGATTCTTAAGACTCTCCCATCCTTGGTGCTTCACAAGAGAAAAGAGAGCAACACAAAAAGACCCATTTCTTAACTATATTCTCTCGCTCCCTCTCCTCAATGCATCAGCCATACTGGAAAGCACACCAGCCACAATGGGCCAGTGCCCCACCTTCTTTGTCTCTGTATTGCCTAGTGGTTATAACCAACCTTAGAAGTGCACACTCTACTACCTATATGGTAATCTAAAAGCCAGATTAACCACAGAAGTAAGACATAGCCCAGCATCAGGTTATGATCTGTTAACGAACAAGACTGGCAAATCAAAGCACAGGTTGAAGGAATGCATTTTCAACACATGGTTTTCAACACCACGCCAACCTCAAACACAACAGTCACAGAGGTATGGTAGATTCAAGGAGAATGGATCTAAATGGCCTCAATTTTACATATATGTACCATTCATTACAAACATAGGACAACTTAATGTTTTATTTTTGAAAGTGAAGAATTAACCACTTTGTGCAAGAGTGGCATACCCTAAATGCCAGACATGGGGGTGGGGGCAAACTGGTTATCATATCCAATACGTGAGCTTCCAGTGGTATTTTGCAAGCCACAGTTAGGGACAGAGTGATGGAACTAGAAAACAGACGTTAGTCCAATCAGGGATGACACTGCATCAAAAGTCTTAAGGAAGGAGAGAAGCTATCTCACTTTATATTTATATGTAAGTATGCAATGTCAGTGACATATATGTCTTGCGTTGCTGTTGATATAATGTGATGCCCTATAGTTTTAAAACAATAAAGCTTGTTTACCTGTTATTTTTCTCAATTGATATACACCCTACATGAAAAAATAGAGCACTCAGTCCTCTGTGGCACTTGGTAACAGGGCAAGTGCTCAATAAATGCAAAACCTGTTCAGGAAGCTTACATTTCCAGTCATGTTGAGCATCTAAAAGTCTTGAGCTGGTGCTGATTTTGTGAGCAGAAGTAGAGAGAGAGAGAAGCCCACGGAGCAGGGAGGCTAAAATATCAGAGCAGGCCAAGGGAGAGGCGGAAATCTTTCTTCAGGGATCCCCTCAGGCGGCCTGGAAAAACCTCACGCCACCCTCCCACTCCCGCAAAAGCTCATTGAAAAGGCTGGGGGGTTCTCTCTCTCTCTCTCTCTCTGTGTTGTGTGTATGTGAAGCACGCACCCTGGCGGGCCGGCGAGACAGAAGAGGGGAGGGCCAGGCCTTCCCAAACCTCCCAACCCTTAATTCCTGGGGGGGGGGAAGGGGCCCCAAACGCGGCCCCCAAAACCCGAACAGCCCACCTGAGGGAACTGAGCCCCGCTCGAGCCCCTTATAGCCAGGGGCGCTCCCAATTCACCCAAAAAGAGGAGGTGTGTCTGCGTGTGTCCGCCTCGGCCCACAAAGGCTGCATCCCCTCAGAGACTGGTCGACTCCAGGCCGGCCTTGCGCCCAGAAGAGGGATCCGAGGCATGTGCAGAGTGCCCAGAGGACTCACTCACCTCTAAGCAGGCCCGGGGAGGGCTCCTGAACCCCTCGCCGTCACGGCCCTTCTCTTCCCCAACGGAGGCTTCAGACAAGCGCTTCGTCCTCCGTCTCGGAGAAAACAACCGGGCTCATCCCACTGGCGCCCGCCGCCCGCCTG